GAATTTCCCTTTAGGTTGTGGATGCCGTAGGGGCAGAGTTTATATTTTATTTTCTCACTTTTTTTTTGTTTGGCACAGATTCGGTGTCTGGTTCATGTTTGTTGAATGGAACTACATGAGACTATAAACTTTGTGAGGCACACATTTTATAAATAAATGAATGAGTAAATAAGTCTAATTGGGACCACTTGATAACGTGCAAAAAAGAGATAGTGAAAACTGGATGTATTTGTTTGTTGTCTCCATTTTTATTAAACAAGTGGTGAAGAAATTCTTATTCTCACATTGTCTTGTAAAAGAAGTAGGTACCCGAGAAGAGAAAAATGCCTGGAATGAAATGTCATCTGACCAACGGTACCCAAAGGTGAAATTGTGGAGCCTTTGGCCAAAATGTTTAACCTAAATTTTATTTTCACATATTTGGTAGCAAAATATTAGCGGGTAGCTCTAAAGTGTGTTTTTCTCCTGCCCTTCTCTGATGGATAGATAAGATTGGTTAGTTGTAAATTGTATATAAATGCTGTTGGTTAGTTGTAAATTGTATATAAATGCTGTTGCTGGTTCTGCTGCTAAGTCGCTTCAGTCGTGTCCGACTCTGTGCAACCCCATAGACGGCAGCCCACCAGGCTTTGCCGCCCCTGGGATCCTCCAGGCAAGAACACTGGAGTGGGTTGCCATTTCCTTCTCCAATGCATGGAAGTGAAAAGTGAAAGTGAAGTCGCTCAGTCGTGTCCGACTCTTCGCGACCCCATGGACTGCAGCCCACCAGGCTCCTCCATCCATGGGGTCTGTGTCAAATGGCTGAAAAAAATTTTAAGCTACTTGGGAGTGCTTCCCTCTTCTTTATTATTTTTATGCTGTGAAAACTCTTCCTGAATGTTTAGCTTCATCCTACATTAATGCATGTTTTGAATTATTGCGATTTATTATTGAGAACTGCAAGTCAGTTCGCCACTATTTATTATTCCAGTAATTTACATCTTGTAGGAAGCCCCAGTCTTTAGTTCATCTCCACAGCAGAAGGCAACTGGGAGGCCTGAAGCTCCGAATCACCCTTAGGCCATGGCTTTGTAACCTCTGCCTCCTGTATCTCTTGTGGTTCCTAGGTCAGTGGTTTGGGTACCATTTGGGTAATCTGGATGAAATATTTGGGTAACTTATTAACATATTTACTCGGTTAGCAAAAGAGATGACTCTTGAGACCTGCGGGTGTCCTTCCCCCACTCTGCACATGCCACAGTCATCTTCCCGCTTCGTCTCAACCCAGCCTCTCCTTTTGATTGTAGTTTAGTTCTGAGGCTCAGATGTGTTTTGTTCTGCTTTCTTTTTTGTTGTTGAGTCGCTCAGTCTGTGTCCAACTCTTTTGCAACTGCGTGGACTGTAGCCCTCCAGGCTCCTCTGTCTATGGGTTTTCACAGGAAAGAATACTGGAATGGGTTGCCATTTCCTTCAGGAGATCTACTTGACCCAGGGATTGGACCTGCTTCTCCTGCATTGCAGGCAGATTCCTTACCTCTGAGCCACCAGGGAAGCCCTTTCTTTTTCTTTATCAATGCCCCTTTACAAAAATATTTCCATTTGGCCACCATTTTATTTCTTTTCTTCCTCAATTCCCAATTCCTTTAAAACTTATTATTATTTCTTTTAAAATTATATATTCCACATAGTCGAGTTTAGCATTTTTTTTTCACAGACAGCTGACAATAATGAGGGCTTAAAAAACACTTTGACAGATCAGGTCAGTCCCAGATATTACCACTTAAAAATGTTTTGTATTGTAAAAAGATAATATATGGGAAAAGAAAGGGTGATGTATGCATCTGGTGAGTTCAGGTGGTTCAGACAGGGGCACAGTAAAAACCAATCTCCTTCTCACTTTTTTCCTCATTTCCTCTCTCTCGAGTCAACCACAGGCATGAATTTCACTAATTTCTGTTTTATCCTTTCTGGATATTCTACCTTCTGGAGTCTTGTGTATGTATATATAGTCTATACATATATAGACAGATAAACCTATTTTTTAATAAAACTTAAAATGTCTGTTTTGGGATTCGGATAGTTTTGGAAGTTGTGAATGAGGCTGGTATTAATAGTGTTTATATAAAATGTATTATTCTACCATAAAAATTTTTGGTGAAGTAAATATTGGTCTTGCATACCAGCATAACACTATATCTTGTGTATCTTCCTCTCTTAGTGGTGAGATATGGCCTGTTCTCTGTTTCCAATTGTGTTGAGTTTCATACTAATTGTGACCTGATCTTAAGTCAAATTGATAGCAGTTGAGGTTACTTAGGTAACTGGGTGTCCTGTTCTGATATTAATCTATTTGGCAAAAGTGTTCTGAGCTCCTTATCCTTGCACTTTCACCAGGGGCTTATAAAAAGACCATATAGCATAGTCAGAATTTGAGGCACAAAGGGGTTAGGATTTTCACAGGTACACTCCATGACTTGGTAAGGGAACCAAGCAACGTCACCCCCAGATTCCTGGTTTCCTGGTTTGAAGCACCAATTCAGAACTCTTTTATAAATTTATTAGAACTCTGCAACTGTAGAAGGTAATCAGATGTAATTTGACACCAGTTCTTTCCATAGTCATAGATTATCATTCCACCTCCAAAAATCCCTTTAAAAGGCTCCAGTTAGAGGTCTTTTTCCATCCTGTATTTCCTCATTTTTCAGTCTACTTGGTTTTCAGTTTTCCTTTCCCACCTACTGTTCTTCCTCCAAGTGCCCCAACAGATTTTGAGTAGATTTATGTTACTGAACCATTTTGCAATCTTAGTGTTCCAATTCAAAACCTGTGTATTAATGCGTACACTATCTGCATTCATGGAAAGCTGTTCCAATAGAGTATCCTGGAAAATAAACAATGAAGGTGCCTGACATTGCTTTTTAGTCTTTAGAGAGGAAAAAAAAGCAGACTACTTAGAAAAACTTAAAGCATGGGGCCATGAGGAATAACTTTGAAGTTCCCACAGTTGCTTGCTTACCAGTACTTACTTTAATTTGTATATGCTTCTAACCTTACCATCCTCATATCAGTTTCAATAGTATAATAGCAAGTTACTTAACCAGCAAAAGCCAGTTTATTCGGGAATAGCCAGAGGATTTACAATGTGAGATATGCAAACTATGGCAGACCATAGGCAGATCCAAGGAAGGGGAACTTGCTTTTGTAGGGAAAATGAGGGGAGCTGAAAAGGGTGGCGTTGTATAATCAAAGAGTCCATTGGAGGAAGCTAGGAGTCCAAAGTATGGAGGTTAGTTGGGCTGTTTTCAGTCTCTGGCTGGGTTGTCACTGGGCAGAGTGTTTTTTTCTTCCTGCTGGCTAGTAATATAGGCAGCATCTTCCTGTCATAGATGAAGGCCTGCATCTCTTCCTGTTTGGAGTAATTAATGTCACATGGCAGGGATGAAAGCTCTGCCTACTACCCTGTCCAGACTCCAGTTTTAGCCAAGGTTTCTTTAATTCCACACTCAGCTTATCTATATTTAAATTGTGATTAAGATTATTGTTCTCGAATGAAGAGGTTTAGGATTAAGTGAATGTGAAGCTTCCAGTTAAAAGATGCTATTTAATCTCGGTGACTATTATTTTGGCACTGACCGTTCAGCACCCTCCCACACAGTTTTTATTCTTTTGAACTGCCAGTTGTATGGAAGATAGCAATGTAACTTCTTTGACTTTCTCTTAAACATTTCTGAAAAGTCTCTTGGCATTGTGCTTGAGACAGGTCTTTGATCAAAACTGTGGTGCCTGTCACTAGTGGCGTAGCACCTGCTCTGTGTTGCCTGCTGTCGGTGATGAGTTTACGTTGAGAAAGAACATTTCCACCTGGAGGTTTCTGGAGTCATCGATGAAAATGCAGAGTTCGGTTTTGACACAGTGCTTAGACAGAGGACAATAGCATGTACTTACCACTCAGTGTGGATAGAAAGAACAAGCTCTCTTGTACTAAAACAGACCCTGTTCTTAAGTTCCCAAATGATAACTGTGACAGAGGGCAGCCCTATGTTTTCAAGTTACTTGTAGTATACTTGTTATGAAATGCGTTTCCACTGTCTAAACTTTGATCGTACAGATAAAACTTGTGGACATGGGTCAATGAATGTGTACTCTGTGCTCTAGGTGTTTGTAAATTGATTTCATAAAGTACAGAAGACGTGGTCCTGGTACTAATCTAGAAAATGGGTCAGGTTTAAAGACCACTTTTATATTCATGTCATTTTTACATTCCTACTGCAAATACAAGAGGAAAATTTTAGCTCATCCATAGTGTGAAAATTTGAAGTAGAAAGAGATTAGATAACTAGTTTATGTTTTACCCAGGTAGCAATTGACAGAATCGAAGTTTTCTATGTTTATGTGCTTTTTACCATATTACAAATTCCTTTTATAATTAGTAACAGTTCTGTATTTTAGAGATTTACAAGAGCCCTATAATCTAAAAAGCACATTTGTACATTTCAGAGCTCTATGGTAACCCTGAACTCCAAGTAGTATAGATATTAATATTGTCTTTTACAGAAAGGACATTTAAGCCCCAGAAAAATACAATGTCCTGCCCAATGGCACAAAAGTATTAAGTGGTAGAACTGGGTGGGACTTATATCTGCTCCTGATCTTGAATCCTCTGCTCTTTCTACTTGGCATACCGAAAGCTAGTTATTTTATTAACAGTACTCAGCGACATTTACTGAGCCGTGACTGTGTGTAGAGTACTGTGCCAGGTGCTGTGAATCAATACTGAAGAAGCAGAGTTGCATAGCATTGCTCACCTTTATAATGCCATGGTGGAGCCAGGACAGTTACATGAGGAAAATACCTAACATCAGTATAATTAGACTGTGAAAGCAAAAGCAAACCCAGTGCAGCATAGTGAAGTAAATATATCACTGCCAATGGTAAACAGTTTGGAGTGTTATCTGACTAGTACCAAACAGCCTTCTAGACGTTTTTAATGCTCATTCCTGTTGGTACCTAGGACCAGGTACCAGTGGTCATTTTCATACTCTCCAGCTCTACTTGCTGCCTCTCCATAATCTAAACTGTGTCGGGTCTCTCCTATTTTAAGAGGAAAAATCTTGGCACTTGCTCCCCTGACCCCTACTCTGTCCTCTTCCTGCCTTCCTTGTCAGCTCATCTTCTTCCTCACCTTCTCATCAGAACTTCTCAAAATGTTAGCTATACACTCCACTCTCTGTTCCTTTTTGCTTTCCTTCATGATGTTGCTTCCTCTACCTGGATCTTAAATATCAGTGTCCTGGAGAGTTCTGTCATCTAACTGTCCTTATTCATAATATTTCCTGATGAGGTCCAAATCCTCGCCTCCAGCTCACCTTTCTCACCCAAATTCAGACTATTTCCCTGAATCAGATGCCTCATGTTGAACATGTGTAAAATAGAATTCATCATTTTCCTCCTTAAAACTAGATCTTTCTGCATTCTCTTCTTACTTACTTATCACCAGTGACCTAGTCACCTAGACTAGAAACCTGGGAGTCAGCCTTGACTCCATCTTCCCCTCAGCTCCTAAAACTCCTGAAAAGCTTGCTTTCTAAGTAGATGTTGAATCTATTTGTACTACCACTGCGTCACTGGGCTCTCATCATGTCACCCCTGTACTTTGCAGCATCTGACTCTTCTCCCAAACAGGCTCTCCTCTGTCTGAGATTCCTACTTAGGTGATCCTGATGCCCTCTGTTGTTAGATCTCTTCTGGTTACTCCTTTATACCATTGTGCATTCTCTCTGCTCTCTTTAAGTACTCAGTACTCTTCTTTGAGTGCTCTTTATCCTTCTTCCTTTTTTTTCTGATTATTTTAGTAAAAACCTTAGTAGCTAGTAGGCAGAACTACAGAGGACAATTAGTGGCCTATATTTTGATTTATGTTTAACAGAGGTCAAAAGCAAGTTCCTCAAGATAATGGTAAGCAGGCCCACACTGTTTGATGTTACCTCTTTTAACCTATGCATGAGTACTGGGAGTATGCCGGAGTATGTTTGTACCCTTAGCTGAGGTTAGACTTGACCTTGACAATACTAATACTAATACATTAGTGCTAATGATACTCTGACTTAGTTAGGATTAGGCTCATTTTTAAGTAACTGAAAAGGTGAGGACAGTGGCTCAAATAAAACAAGGTTATTCCTCTTTCACTGAAATTTCCAGAGATAAGCACTCAGCAGCATTATGGCAGCTCAGTTCCATGACATCCTTAGGGACTTAGGTCCCTTTCAGCTGTTTGTTTCTCCTTTCTTAGGCTGTGTCTCTTGGTCTCATAGAGCACGGGTCTGTTTCTAGGCAGTAGAACTGAGGAGAAGGGAAGGAAGACAAAGGGCACACTGGCTATCTTCTAAGGATTATTCCCAGAAACCTCCAGAGAATTCTTTATTTTTATCCCATCAACTAGAACCTGTGTACTCATTCCTCAGTAGAAGTAGCTGTGGAAGAAGAAGAGAGGATTTTAAGTGACAAATGTCAATTAAATGTCAAAGTATTTATCCCAGTTCTTTAGTCTGATGTTTAATCTGTACTTTCCTAATTGGCCCCCTTTCCTCCTACCACATGAACCTGTCCACCAGCCAAAAGTCTTCCTGTTACACTTGGTTGATGGCCTTCTCTTCTAAATCTTGTAGCTCTTTTCATCTGTATTGCAGTTATATGCTGAACTATATTGCTGCCATTTGTCTGCTTGTGTAGTGTCCCTAAATCATGAGATCTCACCACAGTATAAGTTCCTGGGGTCAGCGACCATCTCTTCTGTGTTGGCAATGCCTTGCTTAGTATCTTGTAAATTATTGATTCTCAATAAATATTTCCTGTGTGAATAAATAGACAAATTTTTATGATTTCTGGTTTCTTATAGAATTTTAGGAAAGGAAGATGGATCAACCTAGCGGGAGGAGTTTTATGCAAGTATTATGTGAAAAATACAGTCCTGAAAACTTTCCTTATCGCCGTGGTCCTGGGATGGGAGTCCATGTCCCAGCCACACCTCAGGGCTCTCCTATGAAAGGTAAGAAACATGGGACATAAAACATTTGTTTACTGGAACTTACTTAGGACATTAAACCAGACTATTGTCTTATTTGCAAATGATTCCCTTTATTTTGAATTATGAATTGAATAACCTTTCTCCTTTTCTATGATTTTAGTTTCTTGGAAAACCTGAAAGGATTTATCTTCCTCCAGATTGGCCAAAAGGCATTTTAGTTGCACTCATAGGGCAAGAGCAATATTTGAATGAGAGTATTTCAAAGAACTTGGAAGGTAGAAGGTAGTACAAGCCTGGCCTGTGCCCTCAATGACCTCACAGCCTATTGGATTACAAGATACATTTATAAAAATATGTAATAACACAAGGTAGTTTATATTGAATCAAATGAATGGCACACTGATTGGGAAAGAAATTTAGGGAGTGAGTTAATATGAGCAGGAAAGAGTTCAAAATTGTGAGATTTGAACTAATCCTTCAAGAAAGTAAAATATGGTTAGAGAGGGGATAAAGACATTCTAGGGGGGAGCTTATGTGAGCAATCATCTACAACTGGAAACATGCAATGTGTGTTTTTGGTTTGCATTTTAACTTAATGTTGTAATTAACTCTTCTTGGAAATAGTTCTTTGTCATTATGGGAGGTTAATGCTAAACAGTGTTTGAAAGTTCCTATGTCTGAAGGTTACTAAATGTTTTTTATTTCTCAATACCACTATCTTACCACTCCATATAAACTGGAACAGCAGAAGGAAGTGGACTTCTTACTTGATCATTTTTTTTAGGATCTACTTCCATCCTGAGAAAATTAATTTTGTGAAAAGCACTAAGTTGAAAAATCATATTAATTGAGGCCTCCATTCATAAAATATACTTTCATGAGTCTTTGGTTTATACCAAATAGGAAGAGAGTGGCTGAATTCTCATATTGATCCTTTTTATTAGTGATAGGAAGCTTAATTTTATTGGCATATTTTTTGAACAAGCAGTAGTTTGACTGAATTCATTGAATGGTTTAAGACTCTGAAACATGTTCTCTCATAATTCTATATTTTTGAAAGTCTCATTTTTGTAAGGGACAAATTCTACGTGAATATGAAAGGGGGTTGACTAATGGACAAGTATGGGAGAAAGATGTAGATTTTTAAATGGATTCGTGTAAGTGAGGAAGATTCCTTGAGTTGATATGAACTTGAAGAACAGAATTGATTTAGCCGATATACTATCTAATGGTCTGAGATAATTTTCAAAGGCAAAAAGAGGTGAAAATACAAATCAGTCTGGCTGAGAAAAGAGCTAACCAGAATGACACTTTTGAACTAAATTTTAAAAAGAAAGAATTGAGGCCAGTAAGAAGACAGTGGTAGCCCTGACGTGAATCATGTGGATCTAATGTCAGATGATAAGGTGACAGTATGGATGATGGTTCTGTTGTTGGTAGTTGAGCTAAACAATCCTGCCAGGAGGTACAGCCTGCAGGATTTTTCAATCCAGTACTTCTAATCGCCTCCTGGGTCATATTTGGCTATCTCCCCCTTGAAACTCAATACCCTTGGATTCCATCACATCCTGTATTTTCAGGGCCTTGTGTAATTTCACATAATTTGATTTTGATTCCTGGTGGTTCAATGTATGTAGACAAGAATTAGGCTGACATAGAACATGTTTCGTTTCCCTTATGATTCAGATCGCCTCAACCTCCCAAGTGTACTGGTGTTGAACAGCTGTGGAATAACTTGTGCAGGAGATGAGAAAGAAATTGCTGCATTCTGTGCTCACGTGTCAGAATTAGATCTTTCTGACAACAAACTTGAAGACTGGCACGAGGTAAGGCTTTCATGGTGGTGAGTCTGGGGGAAGGGCAGTAGTGACTCACTGTACTATTGTCTGCCTTGCTGTGTGTGCTGCTGAATTCTGGCTCTCGGGATTCTTGTCTGTATGTCTTAAGAGAAACAGCTGACTGCTTCAGCTGGTTCTGTAGTGATTTTTCAGTTAACTTTGTTATTGCCTATTTGTTTTTCATGAATGTGAAAAACACTGAGAAACTTTATTCTAGGGCATCAAGAGGTTAATAAGACCACAGGTTTAGACTGCTAACAGTGCATTAAATTCTCTACTGTTTCACTAGTTTACATATCCTGTGTTCATTCTCTGCTACTACTTCAATATTTATTACCATAAATTGACATAAAAATTGTTGGAGTTCAAAACTAAGGTTATAAAAATATTTTTTCTTGATACTGAAATTTATTCCACATATTTGAGAACTTTTCCTTATTTTATTAAGTCTTATTAGTGATTTGACATAACTGATGCCTTTGACCTCAGAATAACTCTAAATTGCACAAATAAAAGTATTATGACATTCTCTCTTATTATTATATATAACATTACTACCTGATTATAACATGACCTGATAGAAGGTATCTTTAAGAGAAAAATAGTTCTTCCTGCTTGATTTTTTGCCTTAATTTAGGTTCTCATTTCTTATTTGAACTGCTGGAATAGTGTCTTAATGAGTTTTCTGCCTCTGGTTTTACTCTGCTTCCTCTAAGCTACCTTCTGCTGTGCTACCAGACTCCTTTAAATAATGAAATGTGATTATGAAACTCAAGCTTTAAGTCCCTTCGCTGATTTTCACTGCCTACAAGCAATGCTTTGAGCTCTCTTAAGTGTGACCCTCCATCATGTGACCCTTTGCTATTTCCAGAGTCTTTTCTCTACCTTTAGCCATGTGCTTTTCTGTAGTTCATGATACATCTTGACAAGGAAAACTTCCCTGCTTTTATTTATTCTGAATCTACTGTTTTCTTCTCTGTCTACCCAGTTGCTTCCTGTATATCTTTCAAAATTTGGCCCAAGTTGTTGTTCCTTTCTGAAACTTTCCCTGACCATCACTCAGACAGATTATCCTCACACACACACACACACACACACACGTGAACCGTGAACTTCCAGATGTTCAAGCTGGTTTTAGAAAAGGCAGAGGAACAAGAGATCAAATTGCCAAAATCTGCTGGATCATCGAAAAAGCAAGAGAGTTCCAGAAAAACATCTATTTCTGCTTTATTGACTATGCCAAAGCCTTTGACTGTGTGGATCACAATAAACTGTGGAAAATTCTGTAACAGATGGGCATACCAGACCACCTGACCTGCCTCTTGAGAAACCTATATACTGGTCAGGAAGCAACAGTTAAAACTGGACATGGAACAACAGACTGGTTCTAAATAGGAAAAAGAGTACATCAAGGCTGTATATTGTCACCCTGCTTATTTAACTTATATGCAGAATACATCATGAGGAACGCTGGGCTGGATGAAGCACAAACTGGAATCAAGATTGCTGGGAGAAATATCAATAACCTCAGATATGCAGATGACACCACCCTCATGGCAGAGAGTGAAGAGGAACTAAAAAGCCTCTTGATGAAAGTGAAAGAAGAGAGTGAAAAAGTTGGCTTAAAGCTCAACATTCAGAAAACTAAGATCATAGCATCTGGTCCCATCACTTCATGGGAAATAGATGGAGAAACAGTGGAAGCAGTGTCAGACTTTATTTTTTAGGCTCCAAAATCACTGCAGATGGTGACTGCAGCCATGAAATTAAAAGACGCTTACTCCTTGGAAGGAAGGTTATGACCAACCTAGATAGCATACTAAAAAGCAGAGACGTTACTTTGCCAACAAAGGTCCATCTAGTCAAGGCTATGGTTTTTCCAGTGGGCATGTATGGATGTGAAAGTTGGACTGTGAAGAAAGCTGAGTGCCGAAAAATTGATGCTTTTGAACTGTGGTGTTGAAGAAGACTCTTGAGAGTCCCTTGGACTGCAGGGAGATCCAACCAGTCCATCCTGGAGGAGATCAGTCCTGGGTGTTCATTGGAAGGACAGATGTTGAAGCTGAAACTCCAGTACTTTGGCCACCTCATGCCAAGAGTTGACTCATTGGAAAAGACCCTGATGCTGGGAGGGGTTGGGGGCAGGAGGAGAAGGGGACGACTGAAGATGAGATGGCTGGATGGCATCACCGACTTGATGGATATGAGTTTGAGTAGACTCTGGGAGTTGGTGATGGACAGGGAGGCCTGGCGTGCTGCGATTCATGGGGTTGCAAAGAGTCGGACACGACTGAGCGACTGAATTGAACTGAACACCTATATCATGCTGCTGTGAAAGAATTCATCACAGTGTAATGCAGTCACTGGCTTACTTGACAGTTTTCTGCTGGACCATGAGCTTTTTCAGGGCTTTCTTTTTTATCATCAGCCCTACCATTCTAGGCTGGAAAAGGAAATGGCAGTACACTCCAGTATTCTTGCCTGGGAAATCCCATGGACAGACGAGCCTGGCGGGCTATAGTTCATGGGGTCACAAAGTATAGAACATGACTTAGTGACTAAACAGCAAACAGCAGCATTCTAGGCATTCATATGTTTCCTGAGTTCATTAAAGAATAAGTGATTGTATCTTGAGGTTTGATCAGGCCCAGTTGCTCTAACTTTTCCTGTAATCTTAAGAAATTCACGTATTCCTTTATCATCTGTAAGACAAGGCTACTGATAAACTTAATTATCAAGACACCTGGTAGATATTAAATGTGATACAAATTCGAAGACAGCTTTCTTGTCAAAGAAATATCTATCTATAACTTACTTTTCTTTCGCTTTTCTTACACTCATCCATTTCATAGTCTTATATAATCTGTTATTTGTGCTCCCCATTGTATTTCCTACTTTTATTAAGATATTTGCCAAAATTCTCTGAGATGTACGTCACTTGATTTCTAAATCATGTGTTAATATATGCAGATTTACCTGGCTGTTTCCAAGAAACAATCTCTACTTATCCATGCATTTATTGATTGGTTCACTTACACAAACAACTCTTACAGTTCACTGCTTAACAAGTTACAATATGTGTCTTCTGGGTCCTTTGAGATGCTTAATTGACATGTATGCTCTGTCCACATTGTACAGATGCAAAAAGAACTACCTTGTTAATCCTCCTTCTCCAGGATTCCCACAGCAGTCCTTCTGCTGAATCTCTGGTGAGATTTTTGACCTGCGTGGATGAAAGTCAGACCAACTCTTACGCTGAATCATTTCAGCTCCTATGTTCACAGGCTGATTCCCCTGAATTTATTTCTTTGGCAGTAAAAATTTCACAGAGGTGTTGTACTTTGTGCTTTAAACACATACATAAGCTTTTGCTAACTGATGGGAACAGTTTAATAGAGATATAACTGCTACCTCAGAAGGATGATTTGTGTCAACATGGATCAGAACACAGAATTTATACTAGGTAATTTAGCCTTTTCTCTGCTTAGACAGAGATCTACACTGAACATTTTTCCAACCCATATTGACAGATAGAGCCAGAGGGTCACATGTTTGGGCTTTCCAGGTGGCGCTGGTGATAAAGAATCCACCTGCCAATGCAGGAGACGCAGGAGAGGTGGGTTCAATCCCTAAGTTGGGAAGATCCCTGGAGTAGGAAATGTCACTCCACTCCAGTATTCTTGCCTGGAAAATTCCATGGAGAGAGGAGCCTGGTGGGCTACAGTCCATGAGCCTGAAAGAGTTGGACAGGACTGAGCTCACAGCTGAGAGGACACTCACAGCCACGTGTTTATTTGAACTCCCTTGGTGCTCAGTTTGTGTATTCCTATAAGTGCCTATAGTCTCATTTCAGGCAGTTTTCAAATGAATGTTTGCTGCTACCCTTCAAGTTTCCATTTTCCAATTTATTTTTGTTTTCATCTTTCCTTTATATTTTGTCCTTCCCCTTAACTGTAGTTCATCCCAGTCTTCTAGAATATATATCAGAACACAGAGATATGGGAGAAATACTGACAGTGGAAGAATATTGATTTTTTTTAGAATTGATTAAACTCTTTGCCAAGCTACAGAAGGCCTCCTAGGCCACAGTTTTAAGATATTACATTCCAACCCATTGCAACACATGTGTTTGATTACCAAAAAGATCATTTGTCCCTGGCCATTAACTAAGTTTATTTCAGCCAGTATTTGATATAGCAGTATGGAACAGAATAATCTAGTTTGTCCTTTCAGTGTTTTTGAATGGTCATTAATGTTATAAGTAGCTTCTTTTATACTTTAAACAACTGGCTGCTATCTATTCAGAAGCTAATATAAATATGAGAGAAAAGTGTAATACTTGGAGGAGAGGCAAAGATTTGTCTCCAGCCCTCCTAAAACTGGGCATCTGTATGTATAAAAAAAGAGATGCATTTTTTAACCTTTGATTTGGATATTTGGCTAAGTAGATTTTTCTCTGACCTTTCCCGAAGTATCTCTTTTATCCTCCTCTCCTTATCAAAACCATTTTATAAAGGAAATTAAACTAAGCAGTTTAGAGGAGGGAGGAATCCCCCACTCGGGTGAAGTAGAGAATAGCTTAGGTATAAATTACAGATTGTTATCTTACAACCTTTCCCATTTTTCTTAAAACCTTAGTTTCTTCCTTTTCAGAAGTTGAGGGTCCCGTGTTAAGTCATAGAGCTGTGGAGACCAAAGAGGTGGTCTGAGTTCATCTCCATATTCTGCGTATGAGTATCCTGAATTCATTTCAGATCACTGGGTCTTGTTTTCTAGTTTTAGAATTTAAAAAAGAGAAGCCTGAGATACTCACTGAATATCAGCCTTTACTATTAAGACATTTTTCTGCTGTGAATAAACCTACCTGTGTCATGACTATAATATTTTCCAGAATATTGTTAATCTAAGATGAGCCAAAATCCTTTTAAATTTTAAACTTTTAAAGAAGATATTTATTTCTAACATGTATTATTTTCCAAATAATATTTGGATTATTCAGTTGTAGTCCAATGTTATGTTTTTTAGGATATTCTAGGGCTGAGTCATTATTTTTTAAATTAATTAATTAATTGGAGGATAATTACAGTACTGTAATGGCCTTTGCCATATAACAACATGAATTGGCCATAGGCATACATGTGCCCCTCCCTTCTGAACCCTCCTCCCACGTCCCTCCCCACCCCATCCCTCCTGGTTTTCACAGAGCAAAGGAGACATAGACATAAAGAACAGATTTTTGGATACAGTGGGAGAAGGAAAGGGTGGGATGATTTGAGAGAATAGCACTGAAACATATACATTACCATATGTAAAATAGATAGCCAGTGTGTGATGTATGATGAGTTATTATTTTAAATCTTTATTCTCATTAGATAGTAGTACAGATGCAAACTATGATGAAGATCATATCCAGTATCTGCTAGCCTTGGAAATTCTTTCAGAAATTGCTTCAAAAACTCTGAGAGTATCCATTTTGAGGAAGTTTTCTTCTTTATTATAAAAATAAAATATGAAGGGTGGTGGTTAGCAAAGGGTGTATGTTTTGTTTATTTAACTGGGGTTGTACTAAAATTAGAACTTATCCTTCATGCTATAGTTGGAGCCAGTTCCTTTTCACTTTTTTTTTTTTTTTTTTTGCCCTTAAAGCATAGCTAGTCATCATCTTTGGAGAAGGCAATGGCAACCCACTCCAGTACTCTTGCCTGGAAAATCCCATGGACGGAGGAGCCTGGTGGGCTGCAGTCCATGGGGTCGCTAAGAGTCGGACACGACTGAGTGACTTCACTTTCACTTTTCACTTTCATGCATTGGAGAAGGAAATGGCAACCCACTCCAGTGTTCTTGCCTGGAGAATCCCAGGGATGGAGGAGCCTGGTGGGCTGCCATCTATGGGGTTGCACAGAGTCGGACATGACTGACGCGACTTAGCAGCAGCAGCAGCAGTCATCATCTTCTGTGTGGAAGGCCTTTGTATCATTGGTATACAGGTGGTAGAATGCAGTAAAGGATTGGTCCATGTGTGGACTATTCAGCTGTGTTGTGGCCACACACTAAACTCCAAATCTTAGACATATGTCACCCAAATCCTTGGTACCATTTGATCACAAAAGATATCAAACAGGAGAATATATGCCAGCTGGTATGAATCTCTTGCATTTTAAACTGAAGCCTAGTGTGTGTGCTGTTGTGTCCGACTCTTTGCAACCCCATGGACTGCAGCCTGCCAGGCTCCTTTGTCCACGGAGATTCTCCAGGCGGGAATACTGGAGTGGGTAGCCAGTCCTTCTCCAGGGGAACTTCCCAACCAGGGAATTGAACCACGGTCTCCTGCATTGCAGTGGATTCTCTACCACCTGAGCTACCCAGGAAGCCCTAAAAAACCTAGTATAGTGCTTAGTGAATAGTTAGGTCAGTAATCAATGAAGCTGATTTCCACTTTTTTTTCTTATGTACCAAGTTACTCGCTAAATCATTAGGTTGATGATCATGTTTTCTCTTTTGTAATATAGTAACAGATGCTTTTTATTTTTGAGTAAATATAGTTTAAAGTTTGGTGCATCTTTGGACCAAGCTGGAAGTGTTTTCTAAATGATTACATAATTAATTTTGAATACCTGAATTGTTACCATGTGGTCTTCAATAAACCTTTAATTAGCCTTAATATTGTACTGAGGATGGAAGAGATATTCAAAGAGAATTACTTGTACATGACCCAATCTCAGCTCTTTAGAAAATATCGTCTAAATGATCTTTTCTCCAAAATATCGTATAGTGGTATCAAAGAGAATATTATACAGAGCAGAATCAAAAACTTTGCCAAAGGCAACATAGAAAATTTTTCTTTTATACCATTAATTTTCAGTGATGCTATAGAAAGGAATTAAATCATTTGCCATGATTTGTTGAAATTATTTCTGCCTCTCTGTGCATACCATCTCTAAACAGGACTCTACAATATAAATGGCATTTTGCCTGGAGACCCACTCACTTAGGTTTTCTTGACTATGATTGCTGTTTAAAAGCTCTGGTTACTGCTTAATATGCTTTTCTTTTTTTTTTCTCCATAGGTCAGTAAAATTGTGTCAAATGTTCCCCAGTTGGAGTTTCTAAACCTGAGTTCCAACCCTCTGAATTTATCAGTTTTAGAAAGAACATGTGCTGGGTCCTTCTCTGGGGTTCGAAAACTTGTCCTCAACAACAGCAAAGCTTCTTGGGAGACAGTCCACACGATACTGCAGGAGTTACCAGAGTAAGCCCAAAGGGCGTGATGGAGAGGGAACTATGTTGCCGTCTGTGTTAGTACCTAGAGTTACTCCTGGCCTCCCACCTCAGAAATACTAGAACTGCAGATTGAATGGAGAATGAGGTTAGAAAAATGAAGTAATTAAATGAGGGTGTGAGGGTAATCTAGTAGCATTTTCATTGGAATACTTGTACAGTGTTGAGTAGCACCAAGACATAGGATATGTCATCCTTTGGCTAGAAAATATCCCTGAGAAGCACTTATCATTTCAAGATCAACCCAGCCTTTCTACATTTTAATCTTCTGCTTACCCTGATGCCAGAATTTTGCCTTGGCCCTTTTCTTTGGGAGGAAAGAATCATAGTGTCTCTAAAATATATTAACACTCAGATGATTAAGTAAGTGCCTAGCTGGCATGATGGGAAAATGGACCTCATATTCTTTTCAATAATTTAAGCAGGAAATTATATTTCTGTTTGTCAGTTTAGAAATGTTTTGTTATGTCTTGTTTATATCTATCTTTGTATATGCACATAAATATTCAAAGAAAATAGTTTAAAGAAATATATGAAGCTGTAGTCTCCTTGATTGTCTAAATACGGAAATTATTAAAGCCTTTCAGAATCTGGTCTCAGCTCACTTATTCCATCTTAGGTTCTCACTCTCCCTCTAATGAGATTGGTTTTCTCACTGCATGCAACATTTAGCATAGCATGGAATGAGCTTTAAATCACAGTTCCACTTCCTAACCATATGACCTTTGATAAGCTTATTAATCTCTTGTCTATAAAGTGGGCATAATTAAAATTTCAGAAGTGGAAGTATGGTATATAAAGCACCTGCACAAGGCCTGATACAGGGTAGGAATTCAATAAATGATAGCTATTATTTCTATTTCTAAACACCATTCATGTTGTTTCTAGAATTTTCTTTTATCTCCTTTCAGTTTACCCAACACTGCCCCTTCTTCAAGGCCATGCATCCTTTCCTGACTGTTCCAACTACAATTTCAATTCCATTCCTATATGAAGTGGTATTGCACTTACAGTGCTGCTTCATTTAGCATTTATTTATTTAAGCATAAAATTACTTTAGTACTGGGTCCTATCATTCTCTGCTCTTTTATGTATTTTAGGTTTGTCTTCCCAACTGTATCTTAAACTTCAGAAAGACATCTTTATATTTTTTCTACTATACCTAGCAGAGTCTCATACGTAGTAGATGTTTATTTACTGAGTGACTAAAAATAGGTGCAAAGTAGAAACTTGACTACTTTAAACAATGAAATATTTCCTTTTTTCTCTGCAGTTTGGAAGAACTCTTCCTGTGCCTTAATGACTATGAAACAGTGTCTTGTCCTTCTATTCGCTGTCATTCTCTTAAGCTACTACATATAACAGACAATAACCTCCAAGACTGGACTGAAATACGCAAGTTAGGAGTTATGTTTCCCTCACTGGATACCCTTGTCCTGGCCAACAACCATCTGAACGCTATCGAGGAGCCTGATGATTCATTGGCCAGGTTGTTTCCTAATCTGCGATCCATCAGCCTCCACAAGTCAGGTGAGGGACATGCTTGTTTTCATTCTACATGCAAATTGATCTGCACTTATGCATGAAATACAGTGAAAGTGTATTTCTTTCCATCATAGCTCTGCCTTCTTACAGGATGATTTTACAGAGTGACATGTAGATGCCTATTGATTAGCTAAATTTAAGGCATTCATTTTCATAAATGCTCTGGTAAATATCAATATTTCTCAAATATTCACTTGGCATAGTGTTATGTTAGCTGCTGTTAATATTTTATATATTAAAGGGGCCATGCTATGAAAGAAGTGAAATGAAATTGATGAATTGGGTAGTAAAAGGAAGGGTAAAAGAGTACAAAAAGTTACAAATAAGATGGTTTTGTCTGGATTTAGGTTAAGGAATCCCAATCCTTTCAAATTCTCACTTATCTTTTCTAGTATTTACATATAATTGATTATCAGTTTGTTGCCATTTGATTCTGCATATAATAGGAATGAATATTTTAGCCTAATTTTAAAAATGAGTAAACGTTATTATTTGGAGTCAATATTCACAGCACAATTGAGCAGAGAGTACATAGAGTTCCCATATACTCCCTGCCCCTACTCATGCAAAACCTCCCCTTCTATCAGCATCCCAGCACCAAAGTGATACATTCAGTTTACCTACATTGACATCATCCAAAGTCCAGAGTTTACACTCTTGGTGGTGTTCTTTGTGTGGGTTTGGACAAATGTGTAGTGACACACATCTACCGTTGTAGTATTGTACATCATGGTTTACTGCCCTAACTATCCTCTGCTCTCTGCCTGTTTATCCCTTCTGCCTCCCTGATCCCTGGCAACCACTGATGTTTTTGCTGTCTCCATAGTTTTGCCTCTTCCAGAATGTCATAGTTGGAATCATACAGTGTGTAGCCTTTTCAGATTGGCTTCTTTAACTGAGTAATTCACTTCTTTTAGTTTAAATTCCCTCATGTCTTTTCATGACTTGATAGCTCATTTCATTTTTAGTGGTAAATAATATTCCATTATCTGCATATACCACAGTTTACTTATCTGCTCATAAACTGAAGAATATCTTGGTTTCTTCCACATTTTGGCTTAATTAATAAAGCTGCAAACCTCCGTGTGTAGGTTTTTTTGTTGTTGTTGTTAATAAACTAGAATAACGTTTATTCATGTGTAGGTTTTTGTGGGGACATGTTTTCAGTTCATTTGGGTGAATAACAAAGCACAGTTGCTAGATGATATAGTAAGAGTATGTGTAGTTTTGTAAGAAGTTGCGAAGCTCTCTTCTAAAGTGGCTGTACCATTTGCACTGAACCAGAAATGAATGAGAGTTCCTGTTGCTCCACATCCTTTCTCAGCATTTGGCTTTTGGCCATTCTAACAGGTGTATAGTGGTATCCCATTGTTTTAATTTGCATTTTCCTGATGGCATATGGTGTGGAACATCGTCTCGTAGCTTACTTGCTGTCTGTTTTCTTTGCTGAGATGTCTGTTCGGGTTTTCTGCCCTAGGTTGTTATTTTTCCTATTGTTGAGTTTTAGGAGTTCTTTGTATATTTTGCATAACAAGCCTTTATCTGTGCCTTTAGCAAATATATTCTCCCAGTCTGTGGATTTTCTTCTCATCTCTTGGCATTGTCTGCCTATTTTTTTTTTTTTTTTTGAAGAAACCTGCTATATAAGGAAAAATAATTCTGACCTGTAACTGAAAAACCACACAATATATTTCACCATGGAGATTTTAAGGATGGGAATTAAGTCTTAAAAACAAGTGATTATAAAAGCCATTATCCTCCAATTAAAATTTTTTAAAAAACAAGTGATTTGCATAAGGAAACTTTATTTCACAACTGACACCGCTTGAACTAACGCCATTCTTCCTCCTAGATAGAATGCTGTTCTGAAGAGGACAGCAGTGACCTGGGTTGGTTATGCACCAGTGTATTGCTCCTCTGCCTTTACCCTTGCTGAAGGCTGATAGAAATAGGAAGAGAAGAAAGGGACTACATTGTTCTCTGCAATGGATTTAATTAATGTGTTGTAAAACTGACCAGGAATATTTTTCCTACCACTGCCAAGTACAGACTTGGATGCTACATTTGTTCACAGCCATAGGAAGAGTTTCCTTTTAGGACTGACAAGTCTTAATTTGTTGCCTATTTTCCTGCCCAAGGGGTTCACGTTTTTTGTGTCTCAATTTGTTTGTTTTAAATTTTAAATCTGTTTTCCCTATCCCCAAAATGGAGATAGTTGAAAGATAATATTTAGTTTCTGGTTCTGTGGACCTTGCCCGTTTTAGTACTTGTTAAGTAAAAATTTAGTCTGGCAGTATGCACTCTTAGATTCTGTGAGTCTGTATTTGATGAAAGAGTTGATCGCATCACTTTTAAGATTTTGTAATCATGGCATCCATCCTGCTTATTAAACCACCGGTGGTCCCCTTTCCCAGTCTTTTGGGTAGAGAATCAGTAGATGAGTGAATGTTGGAAAGTAAAGGGGATCCCTTGAACACTGGGGTCATGGAGAAAGGAGAGGCTGTAGGGAAGTTTTATGGTGTTTTATTCCATTCTTTTCTTGGATAAAGAAAAATTTCAGGATCTAGAACTAGCTTTTGTGATCATTTTAGCATTTCAGAACTTATTAATGGAAATAATTTGTTTGGTGACATTTATCTTCTCATTTGTATGCTTTTCTGGGTTTACTTAAACAGTATGTTTCTCAAATTAGGTTTGCAGTCCTGGGAAGACATTGACAAACTAAACTCATTCCCTAAACTTGAAGAAGTGAGATTGTTAGGAATTCCTCTTCTGCAGCCATACACCACCGAGGAGCGAAGGAAGCTGGTAATAGCCAGGTCTGTTGTCCTGATTAGTCTGCTTTCTTTCCTCGGCGCTTTGTTGTTCCACTAAAGGGATTATGCACTATTGGAAGGTGGGAGGAAGTCCACTGCGTGTTTATCCATCTCCAGAACAGACTGTGCTAGAGCTTCTGCAGCTCCAAATTCTAGAAGAAAAGGAATGTAATATGATATGAAAAATGTGAAATATAATTCATCTGCCAAGACCACTGAAAAATTTCCTCACAAGTCTATTCTATTCAATTTTTATACTTTTTGATATTTACAATATTTGAAATCTTGTTTTGAGTCATGAGGAAAAAGTAAGTATAATTGGGAATCAATTCCTTGTTTTCTCTGTTAACATAGAAGTCATATACAGTGTAAATCCCTGGAAATCAGGCTGTTCATTAGCGTGAAACTCAAGAGAGCAGTATCTGTGGTATTTTTCTTCCATTTAGATTGACCTAAACTTCACCACCACAGTGTTATCTTCTTCCTCCAACTGTCCTGCCTTTCATGTCTGCCTCTGCTTCCCTCAGGCTACTAAAATGTCCCATGAGGGTTTATTTTTGTATGTATTTGTCTTTAACAGCATTAAGGTTTGGCTAAGATGTAAAGGGCCGTGGAGCTTTGCTCTGTTCTCTTATGTATATACATAATAGTTTAACAGGGTAACATTAATCTTTAAGATTCCCTAAAGAAGAGTGATTCTGTAAACTGCTTTGATCTTTCTGACCAGCTAATACCTAGCAGGTCTTTACTGCTTTCCAGTTGTTAATGTACACGTTAATATCCTACTGAGGAAATAAATTTCAGCATGCTTTTCTTCTAAGAAGAGTAAGTCTTGCATACCTTGTGCTTGGTTTTTTTTACACGATTCTTTTGTAAATATAATAAATGATTCCTGAACCACGTGACCGAATTGTACTGGCTGCTCTGTAGACCTGTGCTGTTCATTGTAGCCCCATCAAGCCATGTGTGACTTGGGAACACTTGAGATCATGGCTAGTCTGAATTGAAATGTACTGTAAATGAAAAAAGACATACTAGATTTCAAATACTTTATATGAACAAAAAGAACGTGAAGTATCTTAGTTATCTTTTAGTGTCAATTATAGGTTGAAATATATCCTAGATATATTAGATTAAATACAATGTAGTATTAAAATTAATCTCATTTGTTTACTTTTTACTTTTTAAAATATAGATCCTAGAGAATTTAAATTACATGTGTGGGTTGCATCATATTTAAGTTTGGACAGTGCCCTATAGAATCTTATTTTGAAAGGTGAGGTATGGTTATAAAAGGTCAGTGTTACTTCCAAAAATGCAACTTTAGAGATATTTTTGGTCTGTTTATTTTCTATCATGTTAGTTCATGTAAGTAGTTGTACACAAGCGGAGCTACATCAAATGCATCCTTTCAAGAGAATAAGACTGGGCCTCAAGCCAATCATTTTATTGTATCTTTTGCTCTTTATTTGTAGATTGCCATCCGTCTCCAAACTTAATGGCAGTGTTGTTACTGATGGTGAGCGAGAAGACTCTGAGAGATTTTTTATCCGTTACTATGTGGATGTCCCACAGGAAGAAGTGCCATTCAGGTAAAAACCCTCATCAGCTTAGCAACACTTTAGCAAGTATTGAGGCAACTTAAGACCTATTGCTTTAGAGCAAAATCTGTTATTGGACCTTCTTAGAAGACTTTGATGATAGGTTTAAAAAATAAAGGAAGAAACACAAAAAGCAAACCTGCTTTATGTCGTTTTCCATAGTGTGTTTCTTCTAGCCTTGCACTTGTATTAGGAATGTTTGGGTAGGTATTTGACTGCTTCCAGTAGTTCCCACTGCATCTTCCATATCATCAATTCCTTTTTGTTCCTTTCCTCCAGGAGCACGTTTTCACCCACCCCCAAAACTGCTCTCTTTGTTCACATTGCATCTGCTTTTAAGCTCCACTATGTTCTGCAGTTTGGAAGCCTTGGCAAATGTACATGAGGTTTAGTGATTATGAGAAAGGGACTAGAAAATAGACTCCTTAAGTAGGAAATATTAAAGAAATGAGGATGTTGAGTCAGAAGAGAAATGCTGACGCCTGAATATGAAGGGTTAATACATATTGTTTTGTGAGAAACTAATATTCTATAAATGTAAAGGAAATGTAGCAGATTTCATATAGGTAAACATAAAGGGAAAAAGACTCCCTAAACAGGTTTTTGGGTATTGGAAACTAGAATCAGTTACCCCAAAAGTTATTCTTTTCTTAAAGAGTTTAAGAATAACATTCAATAGGAGGAGTTTCAGACAACAAGATGCAAGTTAAGACTGAATGTGAGTCAAACCACATTCTGTTTACAAATTTCTGTGATTCTAATTCATTCCTGTCATCTGGCACATAACACTCAGTCATGTCCGACTCTTTGTGACCCTCTGTACTGTAGCCTGCCAGGCTTCTCTGTCCAAGGGATTCTCCAGGCAAGAAATCTGGAGTAGGTTGCCATTCCCTTCTCCAGAGAATCATCCCGACCCAGAGATCAATCTCAGGTCTCCTGCATTGCAGGCAGATTCTTTACCATTTGAGCTACAAGGAAGTCCTAATTCATTCCTACTGAACATTTTTTTCCCCAGAGTTCTCTGTTATTTACAGACTTCAAGAGAGTTTCCATACTGTAAGGCTCAACCAGCGCTGTGTAAGAGATTTGTGCTATTAGCAGTAGAATTTTAATGCGTAAGTGTTTAAAATGTTAGACAATTAAGTAAGGATTTTGAAGGTAAACTTTTAAAATTAGCTAAGAACAGCTATTTAGGAAGAAATACAGCTATGCCTTTAGCACAAACCAGAAATATTAAGTTAAACCATGTAAAAAAATATTTTAGGTTAAGAAAACTATAGTCTGATATCTATAGTTTCATTTGATTCAATCTAATGTGTTATTAGAAGAAGTAAATATTCTGGCTTTAGGCGTAAGTCTGTCATGACAGGTTACTTAACTTCTAGTCTGCTACAGGAAGTAGTATATATGTGGCAGTAAATTGTTTCTGTCCCTGACAGCGTAATTTTCCTAAAGTGCTTTTATGCCTCTGTAGTAATCAGTATCTTGAATGCATGTCATAGAAATCATCTTTATCCAGGGGAGGACTTTATTGGAAGGATATTGAGAAACTGAAAGAATTGCTAGATGGTCTAGAGAACCCGGTTTAGACAGGAACCAAGGAAGGCAAGGATAGCCAAGGTTCCCTCTTATAGTCTTCTTTATAGATTCCCATTGGCACACTGTGCTGACTTCACCAGTGAACACTTGCAGCAGTGTCATGGACTTTTGATTTCCCCATTAGTGCTGAAAATAATTTGTTACTGACCTTTGCTTCATTCCCTAAGTTCAGACCTATGCATCTGACCAATTGACTGGCTGTGTTTAAGGCATGTGCCCACACTCTGTCTCCCCAGAGATAAGAAGTGAGTTTATCTGTTCCTTTTTGGCTTCTGCAATGAGAAGTAATAATCTTGCTTCCCCTAATCTTGGGACTTCTTCCCATATAGGAGCAATTCAGCAAAAAGAACATTTACTATAGTCTGGCACAGAGATTACTTTGATTAACATCTAGATATATACCTTTTCTCTGAAGTTATGTATTAAACATTTCTTTTCTTACCTACCCTAATAAATTTATTATACAAATGAAAACACATTTCTTTCTTCTTGTAATGAGATAACCTATTCCAATCCTATGTAGACTGTGATCAATTACCTGCTACCAAAGATTGATGCAGTCAAGCTATTTTAGTTACCACTCTGGCCTTGATGCCTTTTTTTGTAATTATGCCTCTCTTCTCACTCGCTAGTAGTAAGTAGTTACAGTTAGTAGTAGTAGCTTGATGCTACCGCCTGGTCTCTTCCTTCCTTCCTGATACTGAAATATTGAAATGGGCAACCAGATTTCAATGTCTCCCAGCATCTCTGGCCTATACAATGTTTTCCAAGAATGTGTGTGCTCTGCTCATTAATGTATTTTGCAAGGCCTTGGGGAAGGAAGTATCTCTGGGTCTTTGTAGGGTCCAAGGATGGAGAATGGGTGAAGTGATAGCAGGAAGACAGTAATTTCCTTCATCCCTGTGTCTTGAACTTTCTGAATTCCTCCTTCCACATTAGCTCAAAGAATTTGTGACATTTCAACTTGTTTTAGCATAGACCACCACCATTCAGTCCAATTTCCACTCAGCCAGCTTAGAACCACTCTAAATAATTCTAAACCACTAAAGCTAGCCACTAGGTTTTTTTAAAATTCAGAACCTTTGGTAATATACCTACACAAAATCAGCCAGATCTAGAATTGCTTTTTTTCCCCTTGGTTAACACAACTTATTTCTTATATTACCTATATTCATTTCCCATATGTTTGTCCATATAAATGACCAAAGACTTGTAAATGTTTTGATGTTTTTGTAATTGATCCCACAAACAACGCTGTGATTTGATTGATGGTGGTGCAGTAGAGTATGTATGTGAGTTCATTCAATTCAGTCGCTCAGTTGTGTCTGACTCTTTGCGACCCCATGAATCGCAGCATGCCAGGCTTCCCTGTCCATCATCAACTCCCGAAGTTTACTCAAACTCATGCCTGTCGAGTCGGTGATGCCATCTAGCCATCTCATCCTCTGTCTCCCCCTTCTCCTCCTGCCCCCAATCCCTCCCAGCATCAGGGTCTTTTCTAATGAGTCAACTCTTTGCATGAAGTGGCCAAAGTACTGGGGTTTCAGCTTCAGCATCAGTCCTTCCAGTGAACACCCAGAACTGATCTCCTTTAGGATGGACTGGTTGGATCTCCTTGCAGTCCAAGGGACTCTCAAGAGTCTTCCCCAACACCACAGTTCAAAAGCATCAATTTTTCGGCACTCAGCTTTCTTCACAGTCCAACTTTCACATCCATACATGCCCACTGGAAAAACCATAGCCTTGACCAGATGGACTTTTGTTGGCAAAGTAATGTCTCTGCTTTTTAGTATGCTATCTAGGTTGGTCATAACTTTCCTTCCAATGAGTAAGTGTCTTTTAATTTCATGGCTGTAGTCACCATCCGCAGTGACTTTGGAGCCCCCAAAAATAAAGTCTGACACTGTTTCCACTGTCTCCCCATCTATTTCCCACAAGGTGATGGGACCGGATGCCATGATCTTAGTTTTCTGAATGTTAAGCTTTAAGCCAACTTTTTCACTCTCCCCTTTCACTTTCAACAAGAGGCTTTTTAGTTCCTCTTCACTTTCTGCCATAAGGGTGGTATCATCTGCATATCTGAGGTTATTGATATTTCTCCCGGCAATCTTGATTCCAGCTTGTGCTTCATCCAGCCCAGCGTTTCTCATGATGTACTCTGCATATAAGATAAATAAGCAGGGTGACAATATACAGCCTTGATGTACTCCTTTTCCTATTTGGAACCAGTCTGTTGTTCCATGTCCAGTTCTAACTGTTGCTTCCTGACCTGCAAACAGGTTTCTCAAGAGGCAGGTCAGGTGGTCTGGTATGCCCATCTCTTACAGAATTTTCCACAGTTTATTGTGATCCACACAGTCAAAGGCTTTGGCGTAGTCAATAAAGCAGAAATAGATGTTTTTCTGCAACTCTCTTGCTTTTTCGATGATCCAGCAGATATTGGCAATTTGATCTCTGGTTCCTCTGCCTTTTCTAATACCAGCTTGAACATCTGGAAGTTCTCGGTTCACGTATTGCTGAAGCCTGGCTTGGAGAATTTTGAGCATTACTTTACTAGAGTGTGAGATGAGTGCAACTGTGCAGTAGTTTGAGCATTCTTTGGGATTGCCTTTCTTAGGGATTGGAATGAAAACGGACCTTTTCCAGTCCTGTGGCCACTGCTGAGTTTTCCAAATTTGCTGGCATATTGAGTGCAACACTTTCACAGCATCATGTTTCAAGATTTGAAATAGCTCAACTGGAATTCCATCACATCCACTAGCTTTGTTTGTAGTGATGCTTTCTAAGGTCGACTTGACTTCACATTCCAGAATGTCTGGCTCTAGGTGAGTGATCACACCATTGTAATTATCTGGATTGTGAAGATCTTTTTGGTACAGTTCTTCTGTGTATTCTTGCCACCTCTTCTTAATATCTCTGCTTCTGTTAGGTCCATACCATTTCTGTCCTTTATCTAACCCATCTTTGCATGAAATGTTCCCTTGGTATCTCTAATTTTCTTGAAGAGATTTCTAGTCTTCCCCATTCTGTTGTTTTCCTCTACTTCTTTGCATTGATCACTGAGGAAGGCTTTCTTATCTCTCCTTGATATTCTTTGGAACTCTGCATTCAAATGGGAATATCTTTCCTTTTCTCCTTTGCTTTTCGCCTCTCTTCTTTTCACAGCTATTTTTAAGGCCTCCTCAGACAACCATTTTGACTTTTTGCATTTCTTTTCCATGGGGATGGTCTTGATCCCTGTATCCTGTACAATGTCACAAGCCTCTGTCCATAGTTCATCAGGTACTCTGTCTATCAGATCTAGTAGGTGGAAGGAGGAGGCAAATGGGGAATTAGTTTACACTTGCAAGGTAATTCCCTCAGGCAAGGGGATTTTACTGCCTTTTCAAGCC